AAGTCCCGGAGAGCATGCAATAAATTAGGAGGTACCCCAGCAAATTGCGAGGTACCTCTCTGTGAGAATGAAAATGAGTGTAAAGCATGACGATAAACTTAAAATTGTTTTGCCTTATAAATGATTAGTGCAGTTTTTTTATGTTTACGGTATCATTTAGAAGATATTATCAAATAAAAATGATCTATCGTAGACATTTACAAAGTTTGACTATTGTCTGATAAATTGTAATTTGACTTTACATTGAAGTCTATGGAGAGAGCACGTTTAATTAACATATTGTAAAAAGTAATTTGAATTTTATACATATCTCTCGGTAAAATATTGTATAAGATCCCAATTTGAAATGCAAAGAAATCAGATACCGGAGATAATTTGAGAAAATTAGAATTCTCTCATTTTCATAAAGGGGCAGAGAATTTCTTCTAAATATCATAAATTTTTGCCCATATTTTGTTTCCTAATAATAAGTGATCGTATTGTTAGTACTTGCTAGCGTGAACATGAAGCAGCATAAGTCTCCACTGTCAATTTACTCTGTACTATAGTAGACGCTATCTAGGCCCCATCTCATCGGACATATAGAACTATATTTCCGAAAATTCAAGAAGGAATATAATTTCATTGACCAATTGACCTTTTTGCTTTGATTTCCTGAAGTACAGTAGCCAAGAGCTTGTTCTTTAAATATCTCTGAGAACGTACGGTCTAACAGACATTTAGGTACTCTTCTCAATGCCCTATGCCCGTAAGATAGGATTCAAATGAAATCAAGTCAGCATTTCCGGCACAAGTTACCCAATCCCGCTTTGTTACCCAATCCCGCTATACCGTTACCAAATCCCGCTCTCTAAGTTACCATTTAACGCTTGCTCATATAATTCATACATAATTCATACTTAGGACCCTCGTTGGAACACTATTTTTAACTACCTGATACAGATGAAGACCCTCCAGCCCCACGTAGTTAACGAGTGCCCTTAAACCCAGTCAAACGGGAGATAGGTTAGGGTTAGTTACCAAATCCCGCTCTCTAAGTTACCATTTAACGCTTGCTCATATTATTCATACATAATTCATACTAAGGACCCTCGTTGGAACACTATTTTTAACTACCTGATACAGATGAAGACCCTCCAGCCCCACGTAGTTAACGAGTGCCCTTAAACCCAGTCAAACGGGAGATAGGTTAGGGTTAGTTACCAAATCCCGCTCTCTAAGTTACCATTGAACGCTTGCTCATAAAATTCATACTTAGGACCATCGTTGGAACACCATTTTTAACTACCTTATACAGATGAAGACCCTCCAGCCCCACGTAGTTAACGATTGCCCTTAAACCCAGTTAAACGGGAGATGGTAAGGGTTAGTTACCAAATCCCGCTCCCTAAGTTACCATTTAACGCTTGCTCATATAATTCATACATAATTCATACTAAGGGCCCTCGTTGGAACACCATTTTTAATTACCTTATATACATGAAGACCCTCCAGCCCCACGTAATTAACGATTTCCCTTAAACCCAGTCAAACGGGAGATAGGTTAGGGTTAGTTACCAAATCCCGCTCGAAGTTACCAAATAACGTTTTGTTACTAAATCCCGCTATACCGTTACCAAATCCCGCTCTAGGTTACCATTTCCCGCACAAGTTACCCAATCCCGCACACGTTACCAATTATCGCTTTAGGTTACAAAATAACGCTCTAAGTTACCAAATCACTCATTTGCTTTGTTTTCAAAAACTATTGAAACCAAGGGTGTCATCTTCCTGCATTTGAAAAATTACGAACCCATTGACCAAATAATGCTCTTATTCATTTGTTATGCCCATTAGAAATGGTTTCAATGAGCTTACGTTACCATTTCCCGCACTTCACGTTACCAATTACCGTTGGAAACTGTTTCAATAATGCAAAATACAAAATGACCAACATTTGACCCTTTTTTTTTTTTTTTGGATAGAAAATGACCCAAATCGTATAGAAAACACGACCCCAAAAAACATTTTTTTTCCTGTTAGACAGTCTTTTCTTTTCAGTGTTACCAAATAGCGGAAAGAAGTTTTCATTAAAACACATTTAATAAAACGCTAAAAGAAATTATAGTGCAGAAAGGATATGCTAAGGTGTATTGGGTAATGGGTGGAGGTATACTAGATCAGCTTAATGAGAAATGAGTCAGAGTATATTAGATCAGGGTTAGGGGTTATATTAACTTCTTGATATTATAAGTTCAAAATATAGACATATTAGAGTATGTAATATTGTCACTTTCTGTATGTAAACACTACGAATTATATCAAATCAATCACTGAGTTAGAACTTGATTGCTTTTTATGGTCTTGTACTCCTTAAAGAAAAGAAAAAATATCAATATTCAGAAGAGTAAGCCTTCATCAGCTGTGTTTCAGACTTTTACTTTCTTCATCATTATATCGCCTGGTAGCTATCAACGTGCAGTGGTCACCCACCCAATAGTACAACACGCTAGACGTCGCTTAACTTGCGTCATGCAAAGCGTGATACATACCTCACAGCCAGAGAAGCTACCTTATTGTAAGTATTTCAAAATCCCTTATATATCTCAGCTATGTCTGTTAGGGGTAGGGTTAGGGTTACCAATTATGTCACTTTGGTTCATTTGACTTTTTACATTATTCAGCAATACATTTTAAATAATATAAAATGATTCAAAATTGTTCAATATCTTTTCTTTATGCTTCATTATACATTGGATACATTCTCTATTTAAGTTTTAAACAATGATTCAAAGAATAAAAGAAGACAGTTTAACGAAAATATTTAATGAACATCTAAAATAAAGTGAAGTTTGTTAGCAAAAATCCCTTAAACCGGAAATTTTTTCCGGAATGCAATATTCCGGAAAAAAAATTCCGTTTTTAGTTGAACTCTTCTGTGTTTGGAACTCTTCTGTGTTTGGAACTTTTCTGAGTTTGGAGCTCTTTTGTGTTTGGAACTCTTCTGTGTTTGGAACTCTTCTGTGTTTGGAGCTCTTTTGTGTTTGGAACTCTTCTATGTTTGGAGCTCTTTTGTGTTTGGAACTCTTCTGTGCGTCCAAGATCACACAGAGCGCGCTTTGACTTTGTGTATATGATGACGCCAGCTGCGGAGTTGTGTATCATCTTTAGGTCGTCACATAGAACAGTGTAAGCACACAGTGTCCCTAACGCTGCAGAGTGCGGACAGAAAAATTTACCAGGGAAGAGAACGCTAAAAGGTAGGCAATTTATTTTTTGGGAGAATATTTTAGAATTTATATTTTGAAACAGTTTCTTCGACGGAAAATTTCTTTTGATATGTATACTGCAAAATCACATACTTTTCGTGGTGTCAAATTGTATTTGTTCTTTGGGTTTTCATTTCATGGTTCAATGAGAAAGAATTACTCAAACTTCAACTTTTTTTTTCATTTCGTAGATGACATAAATTTCTTGGGTCTCGACATGCAAAGAAAATAACGATAATTAAACCCCACGAAAATTAGTGATTTAACAGTACTGTTTCCTTTTTTTAAGTTAAGGTTGCATTTTATTTCATGACTGAATAATATAGATGAGAAAAACTGCCAAGTTTAAGAATACATTAATTACGCAAAAAACAACTGCTATTAAACAGAATTTTATTTAATTAAATTTTTATTTTATTAACCAATATGAGCAGGAATTTCTTGTTGTAAGCAAGTTAGTCACTATAAAACATTGAAGATTTATAAATTTTGGTTGTTCATTTTTTTGGTGTTGGGAAAAAAATTGAGTAGCTATAATTGAAATGATGTATTAATTATTGTCCTGTACAACAATTGAATTTCTCTTTAACATTCGCAATTCAAAGAAATTTTCTGCTCATATTGGAAATTTTTTTTCAAATTTAGTTATTATTGAATATGCGTGATGTGTGTATGTAAATAAAGATTGGGGGTGACGAAGGCGTCAATTAGCGCCTAAGTCCCGGAGAGCATGTAATAAATTAGGAGGTACCCCAGCAAATTGCGAGGTACCTCTCTGTGAGAATGAAAATGAGTGTAAAGCATGACGATAAACTTAAAATAGTTTTGCCTTATAAATGATTAGTGCAGTTTTTTTATGTTTACAGTATCATTTAGAAGATATTATTAAATAAGAATGATCTATCATAGACATTTACAAAGTTTGATTATTGTCTGATAAATTGCAATTTGACTTTACATTGAAGTCTATGGAGAGAGCAGGTTTAATTAACATATTGTAAAAAGTAATTTGAATTTTATACATATCTCTCGGTAAAATATTGTATAAGATCCCAATTTGATATGCAAAGAAATCAGATACCGGAGATAATTTGAGAAAATTAGAATTCTCTCATTTTCATAAAGGGGCAGAGAATTTGAGAAACATATTTAAAGCAAAATAGCCAGATTTAAAATGTTACCAATTATGTCACTTTGCTTCATTTGACTTTTTACGTTATTATCAAATCGCATATAAAGTTAATCAAGAAAGTGAAAGAGGATTAATTAAGATATCTAACATTTTGTTAGCAAAAATCCCTGAAACCGGAATTTTTTTCCGGAATGCAATATTCAGGGGAAAAAAATCCGTTTTTAGTGGAACTCTTCTGTGTTTGGAACTCTTCTGTGTTTGGAACTTTTCTGAGTTTGGAGCTCCTTTGTGTTTGGAACTCTTCTGTGTTTGGAGCTCTTTTGTGTTTAGAACTCTTCTGTGTTTAGAGCTCTTTTGTGTTTGGAACTCTTCTGTGTTTGGAGCTCTTTTGTGTTTGGAACTCTTCTGCGCGTCAAAAACCCCACTATAGGTTACCATTTCTCGCACAAGTTTTGTTACAAAATCCCGCTACACCAATTCTTAAGTCCGGTCAAGGTAAGGATTTCCCGCACAAGTTATTATTTATTCTTATTTGTTTTCTTTTTGTTCTTTATAAATGAATAGAGATAAAAAAAAAATAGTTGTTTGCTTAATGTAGAGGAATGTGTTGCAAATTCTCCTCAATCAATAAAAGAATATCGCACTCAAACACAAATTAAACTAGATATTAAAATTTTTATTAGTAAAGAATAGTTTCTTTTTTTAAGGAATTGGTATGAGTGAGGAAAAAGGTATAGAGTCTCTCCCTTCCGATGCAGGTATTACATGTAGTCATTTGAATTTTCGTACATCAAATCGCATATAAAGTTAATCAAGAAAGTGAAAGAGGGTTAATTAAGATATCTAACATTTTGTTAGCAAAAATCCCTGAAACCGGAAATTATTTTTTCCGGAATGCAATATTCCGGAAAAAAAAATTCGTTTTTAGTGGAACTCTTCTGTGTTTGGAGCTCTTTTGTGTTTGGAACTCTTCTGCGTGTCCAAAACACCACTATAGGTTACCATTTCTCGCACAGGTTTTGTCTCCTATCGATAATAGACACCAAATATATATTGATTTTTTTTAATTTTATGGTATTTAATATTTATATCATTTATTTCTCCTTCATATCATCTTATCGAGTTGCATTTTGTAAAAACTGGAGCATTTTGTGATTCCTTTTAGTAGAGATGGAAGCTGATGTGGCGGAGTCCCAGGGAAATAAAGATCCTTGTTTCTCTGGTAATGAATCTGACCTAGATATTCTATAATATCTAATAATATCGGAGATATTCTATAATTTGCAGTTGATACATCTAAGGGAAACAAGAATATAAGTTTGCTAACCGTGATCTTTTAAGGATAAAATCATGATGAAGAAAAAAATGAACTTATTTTTTAACAATGTTTTTTCCTAAATAACAGTTACAGGGCGTTACATTGTTTGCCAATTTATTTTGTGCAACAAGGCCATTGTGCGCTTTGGGGACCATCTGCGGAGGACGCACCACATCTCCAAAAGAGTGCGCATTGAGTACCTCCACTTCCAAAGTCCCAAAGTTGTGGACAACTTTACGACGTAGGTTGAATTTTGAAGCATTAATTCAATCGTATAGAAATATATTTCTTCAATTATCCATATATCTTCATTTTGTAGTGATGAATGTGTACCTTCTCTACACCTGGAGGACCTTACAGACCCAAGTGATGATAAAAGGTTTGTGAGCACAATCATACTTGTATGACTTTAAATTTGATTTTATTTGCACTACAGCTGAATAATCATTTAAACTGTTTGTAGGGAAAGTATCATGGACGCAGCTGAAAAAAGATGCATATCCTAACCCACTGCATCCTTGGAAAAATCAGCTTACTTCCATTGCATAGCTTTGATAAAAATACCGGAGATAATTTGAGAAAATTAAAAATTTAAACTTTTCCCATTAGTATTTTTTAATTCAGTGTGTATCATAAACCACATTGTAATTGTTTAAGTGTATGTCATTTGTCCAAATAAAAAATAATGAAACCCCAAAAAAATAGCTGAAATATAAAAGGAACTTATACTGATTTACAAGTAAGATAGCATTTCTGGCTATGCGACATGTCCCTCGTCTTGATGATGCAGGTTAAGCAACGTCAAGCATGATCAGTACTTGGATGGGTGACAGCTGCACCTTGCAAGGTTTCACAAAGGGCTATCAAGTGATATAGTGATGATACAGCACCACCATTCTGAATCACATTTGATTAAGAATTAAGCATCTGAATATCACACAAACGTTTCTTTTGTTCTTAAAGATAAGGGTTAGACTAATTCAGTAACTGCAGGAATTCATTGATCACAGTAAAAATAAGCATTCCTTTCTTAAACATTATGGGTAAAAGTGAATAAAAGCAGGAATTCTTTGCTCATAAAATTTAGGCATTTCTCAAATAAGCAAGGATTTTGTACAGTTAAGTAAGGATTAGGGTTAAAATAATCCGTAGTTTTATTGTCATCTTAGTCACTCAGCTTCGGCAATTCCATTTAATAATCTAAGAGGCATCTGAACGAATACTGTTATTTTAGTAACCATTTAATGCACAAACTCTTGGTTACCATTTCCCACCCTTTTATCCAATCGCACAGAACATATAACAACCAAGTTGACATTCTAGTACTCTTTTTCTTTCCTTCCCCATAGAAAATATTGAAATTCAATCAGATTACCGTTTTCCGCACGTTTCCCAATACGGCTTTGTTACCAATTCCCGCTATATCGTTACCAAATCCCGCTCTAGGTTACCATTTCCCGCACAAGTTACTCAATCCCGCACAAGTTACCAATTATCGCTTTAGGTTACCAAATAACGCTCTGAGTTACCAAATCACTCATTTGCTTTGATTTGGTAAACTATTGAAGCAAAGGGTATCATCTCCCTGCATGTTAAATATAATGAACCCATTGACGCTATAATCCCTTGATCCATTTGGCATACCCATTAGAAATGCCTTCAATGAGTTTATGTTACCATTTCCCGCACTTGGAGTTACCAAATACCGTTGGAAACTATTTCAGGATTTTCGTTGATGTTTCAAATAAAATTCGTAAATTAATGCCAAATGGTAATAATCTTACTGTGAATTCTCGATGAAAAGGACCTTCTAACTGGTAGGACGAAAATCAATTGAATTTGAAAAAAAAATACTGAGTATGAGGAAGGGTTTAATGGGTAATGCGTAGAGGTATATTAGGTGAGACTAATGGGAAAATAGTTCGGATATATTTGGTCAGGATTAGGAGTAATGGGTGTACTATGTAAATTTAAAATTGTTCAGGGTATACTAGGAAAACAGTAGTGGTTAGGTGTCTTGGTATGCTTGGTCAGGGGTAATAGAGGATATAGTGATGATGAAAAGAACGGTCTGAAGCAGAATTGATTAAAGCTGAATATATTTTTTTTAAATTTGCTGAAGTGTTTTGTGACATTTAGGTAGAGAAGATCAGGAAATCAGAAGAATGGAAACAGTTAGAGAAGCTTGTATTTATGGGTGAGTATATTCACATTTGCAATACTTTTCAGATCTTAACAATGAAAATGATTTTGACAAATGAATCACTTGTTTGTTGTTGATAGTAAATTTTTATGCTATTTATAGGAAGAGTGTGGAAACAGTGGAAGAGGTTCCTAGCAGTAGGTTGGTATCTTCATTTTTCTTGAATAAAGGGTTAGTCTAGTGACATTTTCAATGTTTTTCATGCAAGACCAATCAAATGGCAGTATTAAAGTTTCAATTTTTGTGAGATAATTAGCCAGTTCATCAAGGAAAGCTATGTATTTCCTCGTCCTGCACCTGTTCGAGTACAGAACATCCTCTCTACATTTACATTGCGTAAATTCTTCCAGCCAGAATGGTCTAGCTGGTGTATCCTTCCAGTTGAACAGCATGTACTTAACCTCTCGAAAGGAAACATAGCACATAAGACTCCTAAACGTGGCTAGAAATCCATCTTTTACTTGACCAATGTCAAATTTAAACTCAAATCTTTCAAGGCTTTGGAAGACGTTCTCTATGGAGTTTATAACGAGTTTGTTTTCGCCCACTTCTCAGTCGTCTTCCATCCATTAATCTGGTTTCACTGCAAGTAAAATACAAATATATGTATTTGTGTTAAATATATTCAAATTTTAAAGAAATTTTGTATAATGGAGTAGTAGTAGAATTCATTTCTTGGCTACAAACAGACTACAGACAGTGCAAAATGTGCAAGAGTATGGGTTCCTCAAAAAAAAAAAATTAAGTACATTGCACATATACTGTGTGCTCAATAACCAATCTATAAAAACTAGATTCTTTCATCCACTCCTGTAATGGCTACACAAGGATCTATTATGGGAGTGGATCAAAGGTTCCAATTTTAATTTGATAAGCTTGCTTATTTAATAAACTCCAGCAAATAAACCCTTTAGTTGTTTGGAATATATTATGTTCATTTTCACAAGGAATACTATTTTTTAAAGCAAATCCCCTTTTCTCTTATCGGAATTTAAGAACTGTGCTTCAATTCTGATTTGAAAACACAATTCTTGGTCAGAATCAATGTACATTCCTGGCTTAGCAATATTGCATATGCAAATTCAGTGATGCGTTATGCAATGAAGACCTATTAGATGACACCTCCTTTCTCTCCAATACAAATCTGTTATTGGATTGACTTCGTAAATAACCTTCAAATGTCAAATATTTTTTTTTAGCTCACCTGAGTTGAAAGCTCAAGTGAGCTTTTCTGATCACATGTTGTCCGGCGTCCGTCTGTCTGTCCGTCTGTCTGTCCGTCTGTTTGTCCATCTGTCTGTGTGTAAACTTTTCACATTTTCGACTTCTTCTCAATAACCACTGGGCTAATTTCAATCAAACTTACCACAAAGTATCCGAAGGGGATTCAAGTTTGTTCAAATGAAGGGCCATGCCCTCTTTCAAGGGGAGATAATTAGAAATTAGTGAAAAAATAAAAGCATCATTTAAAAATCTTCTTTTCAAGAACCAAAGGGCCAGGAAAGATGAAACTTATGTGGAAGCATCCTCAGATAGTGTACATTCAAATTTGTACAGTTAAGGATGCTCAAAAATCCTGTTTTCTTTTATTTAGGCAATAAGAACTATCAAACAGATTGCACAGACGAGCTCCATTCAAGAGATATATCTTAATGCACTTGTCTTTATTTCTTGGCATTTTCCTTCGGTGAAAATGTTTTATTTTCTTTTTAAAATGTCGGTGAAATATTTTCTTATATTCTAGATATCGCAGACAGGTACTGAGGAAGGTAGTTCAAACCCTAACCCTACCCCTGATTCTGACTCTCCAAAGGTAAATGTTATGATTGTAATTCTAAAAGCAAATGACTGTTGGAAGCAAAATTTCCGACACTTCTTCCATTATACGCTACTTCTTCCATTTTGTTTATTATATACATATCTATTATACCGAAAATCATAATTTAAAATAGATGTACTGAAGCATGTAGCTTATTCAAATAAAATCAAGTCAACATTTCCGGCAAAAGTGACACAATCCTGCTTTGTTACCAAATCCCGCTATACCGTTACCAAATCCCGCTCTAAGTTACCAAATCACGCTTCCTCATATAATTCATACATAATTCATACTTAGGACACTCGTTGGAACCCCATTTTTACCTACCTTATACAGATGAAGACCCTCCAGCCCCACGTAGTTAACGAGTGCCCTTAAACCCAGTCAAACGGGAGATAGGTTAGGGTTAGTTACCAAA